ACTCCCACTATGCTTAGTCATTCCTCTCAAACCCTCTTCGGTAGGTTGAGTTAGTCATGGGGGTTTTGTGTGCCAAGTTAGGTCCAGATCCATCATTGGTAGGGCTCAGAGTGCGCTTAAATTGCAGGTGAGAGCTATACATCCCAGTCCCTACAATTCCAATAACTCATGGTGAATTATCCCCAAACCTCTCCAGTATGTTCAGTGCATGGGGTCATGCAATTTCCACACCAATGGAGAGAGTCAGAAACACTGGGATGTCTGTGGCGGAGGGCCCTTCCACAAAGCCCTATATCCCAGAATATCAGGACAGAAAATCCCACATTATCTGAGCGTGTACTCAAATGATCCAGTTTAAAGCAGATATTGTGGGATTTTCTGCCTTGATATTCTGGGATATAGGACTGTGTGGAAGGACGCAGAGGAAACAAAATCTGGGATGAAATTATCCCTGTATGAAAGCCTTCACTTGGGTAGTGGGCAGTATGGTGTTTGTGGAGGACATTGGTAGGTCTTGGGCTACATGTTTACGGCGCTCTCTATATCCTGCAATGTCATTGGGGGGATGACCATTGGTGTCTCCTATATAGTGGGTGCTATAGCTATTTGTGAAAGTGTGAGCCTGTCTGTGTAAGTGGACAGCCCAGCCACATATACAAACATAGTGGGTGCTATAGCTCTTTGTGAAAGTGGAAGCCTGTCTGTGTAAGTGGATAGCCCAGCCACATATACAAACATAGTGGGTGCTATAGCTCTTTGTGAAAGTGGAAGCCTGTCTGTGTAAGTGGACAGCCCAGCCACATATACAAACATAGTGGGTGCTATAGCTCTTTGTGAAAGTGGAAGCCTGTCTGTGTAAGTGGACAGCCCAGCCACATATACAAACATATTCTCACTTTTATTATGTGTATAGATGTTTTTAATATTTTTGTAGTTCCATCAACAGTATAATTGATTCCTTCTGTTAGTTAATAGTCTTCCTTCTCCATTTTTCAAGGTACTTGATTCCAAATGCAGGTGATGCTACCAAAGCCATAAAACAACAGATTATGAAAGTTCTGGATGCCCTGGAAAGCTAATAAGAAAATACTTTCTCAGTGGTGTCTTGAAAGAAATGGACAAGCAAGATACTCTCTATGGAACTGAAGTGACTCTGTTCCCGCTGAATACTCACTTGGGACAACATTTCAGTTTACTGAGGGGAGTGCCTGGATAGCAGGGTTAAAATAGGGGTAAATTATACATTTTGAATGGATTTTTAAGTATTTTTCTTTAACATTCTTGGATTTTGGGAAAAGTTGTTTATTATAAAAGTCAGTTATTTTTAATTAGTTTCATAAGAGCGGACCAGCTCTTAAGAAGAGGACTTGACACCGAAGTCTGTCTGAAAAATTGTGTTGAAGCCACGAAGCACTTCTAAATATTTGGAAAATATAGTTCTTGTGTTAAACATTGAAGACTAGAAGATACTTTTTAAAAGCCATCAGAACTGAGTATTTGGCTGGATCAGATGGATGTAATATCAAGGAATGACACAAGAAAGATTATCGAAACTGGAGGAGGTTTTCTCTTTCCTCAAATTGGAACCCAACACAAAATGATTTCTGTAATCCACCAACCTAGAAGACAGGGAGATACACATTGTTCTGTTGAAAAGGTTTTTAAAGTCTTATCTCCACTATCAAGTTATTAAAAGGGGGATTATATTACAAAACTTGAAATCCCAAACTGAATACAGTCATCTAAAAAATTTACACTCACAGACTGGTGGTTTGAGTTATTACGACGGATCATTTGTTTCCTGGGCCAGTGGCAGCATTTCAGTAGAAGTTGAACTCACAATGCATGCTTCATATGGTAAAATACGAAATTTGGCCATAAAGATGAGACAACATGTTTGTTTTGCTATACTAAACAAAAGTGAAGCGAAATAATTTTGTGTGGATTACATCTGTTTTCTTTGAGATCTGCCTATTGAAGTTTCTTTGAAAATAATGTTTTTGCTGGTTGGTAAGATTTTGCTGCAAATCTGTAGCATTCATCTATACTACAAATGCTTAAGACTGACTTGAATGCACTTAGGATCCGGGAGCAAGCAGGTGTGTGTTGCCTTGAAAGCCTGCACGAATTGGAAATGATGGTTCGATATTACTGTTTGTGCTGATAAGAATTACATCTGCAAGTCCATAATGTATTATTACTGTATTATAAGAAAATAAATCAACCTGACCTTTATAGCAATTGGCATTCTTCGGTTATTCTCTTAGTAGGAATCAAGTAAAGGCACTTTAATCCTGAAACTAACTCCCATTTTTTTAAAAAAAATCTTAAGTCATCAATATACAATTTTTTAAAGATGAATTGCATGAACTGCATCTCTGCCAATGCTCTTGTATTTATATCCTGCCCCAGAAGAGTTGTATTATTTTTTCTTTCTCTCCTTCCCCTTTAAAATCAAAATAAAATTTCTTGAAAGGCCTCCATTGTGCCTATTTCAGCAAAGAATTTTTTTTCATAAGGTTTGTGTAAAGACGTTTGTGTAACTGTTTATAAACTGCCATTGTAAATAAATCAGTACTATTTGAACAGAGTTTGTTTGGGTTTATTGCTGCTTCATCTTAACAGTGCAGTGTCATTTCTGAACATTGAACATTTTACATTTACTGAATTCTGTCGTCTTTACAGCTGTTAACACAGGCAAACATACATATACATATAATAATAATAATAATAATAATAATAATAATATAATCTATATAAATAAAAATGTAATGTTCGTTTGTGGGATTAACATAACTCAAAAACCACTGTGTAAATTGACACCAAATTTGGGTGCAATACATGTCTCAGGCCAATGAGTGACCATCACTCATAAAAACACTGGAAAACATAGCAGAAGGGACATAAAAAGCCAAAAAATACATTACAACGCATGCTCAAAACCACATATGTACACAAACACACATATATACACATATACACAAGTATATACCGAAATATATACACACATATGCACACACAAAACATATACACAGACTGGGCCACAGCAACATGTGGCAGGGGACAGCTAGTATATAAATAAAAATATATAAATAAAAACAAGTATATATTCGTTTGTGGAATAAATATAACTCAAAAACCACTGTGTGAATTGACACCAATTTGGACTCAATACACCTCTCAGGCCCCCTGGTGGCGCAGTGCGTTAAAGCACTGAGCTGCTGAGTTTTGTTGACCAAAAGGTCGCAGGTTCGATTCCAGGGAGTGGCGTGAGCTTCCGCTGTCAGCCCTAGCTTCTGCCAACCTAGCAGTTCGAAAACATGCAAATGTGAGTAGATCAATAGGTACCGCTCCAGCGGGAAGGTAACGGCGCTCCATGCGGTCATGCCGGCCACATGACCTTGGAGGTGTCTATGGACAACGCTGGCTCTTTGGCTTAGAAATGGAGATGAGCACCACACCCCAGAGTCAGACATGACTGGACTTAATGTCAGGGGACAACCTTTACCTTTTTACACCTCTCAGGCCAATGAGTGACCATCACTGAAAAATACAGCAGAAGAGATTTAAAAAGTCAAAAAATACATTACAACGCACGGGCATAACCACATACACACACGAACACACACACAYAYAYATATATATAYACACACACAAAGCACATATACAAAGACTGGGCCATAGCAACATGTGGCAGAGGACKGCTAGTCTATATAAATAAAAAATGCAATGTTCGTTTGTGGGATTAACATAACTAAAAAACCACTGGGTGAACTGACACAAAATGTGGACACTACATCCCTAACAGACCAACAAGTGACCATCACTCATACCCCCCCCCCCAAAAAAGAGCAGAAAGGACTTAAAAAACCAAAAAAGCTAAATGACAATACAGAAAATTTGTCCGCTTATCTTCCCAAGAGATTTGCAGGATTTTTCAGAGGCAGCGCTGATGGAATCGTTCCAGGAGTTGCACGTGGCGTCTGGAGACTGTCCACAACTCGCAGGCATACAGCAGGGCTGGGAGGACAATAGCTTAATAAACAAGCCCCTTGGTCTCCCTACGGATGTCCCGGTCCTCAAGCACTCTCTGGTTCATTCGGGAAAAGGCTGCACTTGCAGAGCTCAGGCGGTGTTGTACTTCGGTGTCGATGTAGACTGTCCACTAGCAAAGAGGCACTAGCACTCTTTGGCAAAGAAGGCTTGTAAAACCACCACTCCCAGGATTCCAAGGCAGTTCAAGTAGGGTCAATCTCCATATTGTGCAAACAGCTGGGCAGGAGGCAGGCATTACTAAGGGGGAGGGGGAGGACATTGAATATTAGGTGACCAACAAAACTACATTTCCCAGCAGCCCTTTGCGCCTATTCCGCATGCGTTGCTTTCCTCTCCCGGTCTCTTTTTTTCCCCCGGGGTGGAGCAGCAAGAGTCAGTAATGCCCATGCAGCTGGCGAGAGGAGCCATGGCCAGTGAGTGCTTTCCCTCCAGTGGGATTTCATGCCTTTCTTCTGCTTTCCAATGTGGCTTTAAGCTTGGAGGAGAAGCCAAACAGGGATCTCTTCCCGTTGGCACAGCCATAGTGTTTCCCTCATTTTTTGCATTTCTAAGAAGTGGGGCATGTTGTGCTCCCCGTTTCCGAGGTTTTCTTGGCAGAGAAGGAAAAACACCACAGAAAACTACAATTCTCTCAATTCCATAACATTAAGCTGTGGCAGTTAAAGTGGTGTTAAACTGCATTAATTCTACAGTGTAGACGCACCTTGAGTGGGTGCCTTACAGGAAGCATTACTAATTGCTCTGCCTTAGGCACCAAATTATGTTTTGGTCCAAGAGTGTTGTGGAGGGATTCTGTCCAAAGCCACTCCCCAGTGGGGTGCAGAGTGTTCTTTGATTGCAGGCGAACTACAAATCTCAGTACCTACAACTAGCAAATGTCAAGGACAACCCCCCCCCCCCTCAAAAAAAAATATCCACCAGTATTCAAATTTTGGCATATCGGGTATGCGTGTCAAATTTACTGCAGATCCATCATTGTTTGCATTCACAGTGCTCTATCTATGTAGGTGAACTATAATTCCTATAAATCAAGGTGGATATTCCCCAAAGCCTTTCAGTATTTTTTTGTTGGTCATGGGGGTTCTGGTGTGCCAAGTGAGGACCATGGCCATCGTTGGTGGGGTCCAGAGTGCTCTTGGATTTCAGGTGAACTATAAATCCCACTATCTACAACGGCTATAAATCAAGGTGAATTCCCTTCAAACCTCTCCAGTATTTGTCTTTGGTGAAGGGGGTTCTGTATGCAAAGTTAGGTCCAGGGCCATCGTTAGTGGGGTCCAGAGTTCTCTTTGCTTGCAGGTGAACTATAAATCCCAGTATCTACAATGACTATAAATTAAGGTGAATTCCCCCCAAACCTCCCCAGTATTTTTCTTTGGTCACGGGGGTTCTGTGTAACAAATGTGGTCCAGGTCCATTGTCCGTGGGGGTCACAATGCTCTGATTTGATGCAGGATGAACTACAACTTCTATCGCGTGGAGTCAATCCCCCAAACTCCTGCAATATATGTAGTTGCTGATTATTTCTGCTCTGTTTGTTGTGCAGACAGAGTTGAAAAGAGTAAGGAAGGGTTAATGGAGAGGCAGTGGGTGGGATCATGCACATTTCACATCAGTGGAGAGAGTATGAAACACTGAGATGTCTCTGGTTGAGGAAACACATAAAATCTAGGATGAAATTGTCCCCAAATGTAAACATTCCTTGGGTGGTGGGCAATATGGTGTTTGGGGAGGATATTGGCAGGCGGTTGTGTTCATAGCTCTTGCTATAACCTGAAATGTCATTGGAGGGAATACTTTCAGTGGCTCCTCAGCACTGTGGGTTAGAGCTATTTGTGGAAGTGGGAGCCTGTCTGTGGAAGTGGGCATCCTAGCCACACACATGCATGATTTCACTTTTATAAGGTACTAGCTGTCCCCTGCCACGTTGCTGTGGTCCAGTCTATGTTTTGTGTATGTATATATGTGTATATGTGTGTGTATATATTTGTGTATATGTGTGTATGTGTGTTTTTATGAGTGATGGTCACTCGTTGGCCTGATATGTGTATTGTGTCCAGATTTGGTGTCAATTCGTCCAGTGGTTTTTGAGTTACATTAATCCCACAAACAAACATTTATTTTATTTTATTTTATTTTATTTTATTTTATTTTATTTTATTTTATTTTAATTAATTAAGATAGATAGATAGATAGATAGATAGATAGATAGATAGATAGATAGATAGATATTATTTAGTTATTTGCTACATTTGTATACTGCCCCTCTCGGCCCGCAGGCGACTCCATAGATCGATAGATAGATAGATAGATAGATAGATAGATAGATAGATAGATAGATAGATAGATAGATATTTATTTTCATCCAAACTTTCTCCCCATAGGAACTCAAAGTAACTAACACAATGCAATATATTTTTAAAAAACAAGGTGAATATGTAGGCATACAAATTAAAAACAATTAAATATTTGTGTCATGAGTGTAAAAGTTCAATAAAAATACAATCAAAATTACATTTAAAAGCTAGGCAGCTCCCCCTTTCTCCAAATCCCACTCCCAGCGTCCCCAGCAGTAATATGATATACCAAAGTAATGTACCTGTCTTTGTTGTGCATGGGCATAATTTCTGAACAATACAATTTTTGGCATGGAATGTGTGTGCAGTGGATTACATTCCTTGTGCCTTTCTTCACCAACTTTTTGGTAAGATTTACTATGTGTCTACTCTGCAGTAACTGAGGAGCCCCTGGTGGTGTAGTGTGTTAAACCCTTGTGCTGGAAAGACTGCTGATTGAAAGATTGGCGTTTTGAATGCAGGGAGCAGGGTGAGCTCCTGTCTGTTAGCTCCAGCTTCCCATGCGGGGATATGAGAGAAGCCTCACACAGGATGGTAAAACATCTAACAGTTCTCTCACACCAGAAGCAACTTGCAGTTTCTCAAGTTGCTCCTGGCATGAAAAAAAGAGTCACCTTTGACCACCTTCTATTCATTTGACCTTCTTTTCAGCAGGTCTCTACATCCAAGTGGCACTCCAAACAATTCTTTAAATGAGAGTTGTCTGCGCAGCATTTGGAGCAATGCAAATAAAGTACTGAGAGGGAGAGATTTCAAGATTTCAATCATTTTGGAGTGTTCTCTTTCACTACCTGATATTTTGAATGTTTTTGATTTAGATTTCCGTCTCGCCCTCATCCAGCTTCAAGTGTCTGCTGCGAAAACAGAGAATGTGAGCCGGGCCTGTGGGTTTGTAAGGACTGCGGCACAACAAGGAGCAAAGCTTGTGGTCCTGCCTGTGAGTTTTGATCACACTTTCTCTACCTGTTCCTTTACAAAACTATTAAATGTTTGTGCTGCTTTTCTAGCCATAACTTCATTGTTTCACTCTTTTCCCCTGGCATGACTAGGGGGGCATCTACACTGAGCAATTGATGCCATTTGACGCCACTTTAACTGCCATGGCTCAATGCTATGAAACCATGGCAATAGTAATTTGATGAGACACCAGCACTCTTTTAAAACACTATGATTTGTTGCTTTATATCACAACTGCACATTGTTCCCCCCCCCCACCCCCCACCCTGGTTTTGTTCTGTTATTGTTACTGCAAAAATCTTCTGCTTGAGTTGGTCATTAACCTTCTGCTACTTTCTGTGTGACTCAATAGTGCAAAGTTCTTGAAAAAAATTAGCTGTTACATTTCAAGTGGGGGAAATGTCTTTCATCCTGAAAACGGGACCTCTGGTGTTAGTTATTTTGGAAAGGCATGACCTTTTAGAGATCATAACCTTTTGGAAGACCAGGAATCTCCATAGCCTTTTGGAAGCAGGATCCTTTTGGAGATTAATTGGCATATTCCACCATTTGGAATAATCATAACCTTTTTGTAAAGTATGATCTTCCTGAGAAGAGTTAAATACTCACTTGAGTGAATCTTCTCCTTAGTGGTAAATATCCACTAGTATTCATGCAAGGCAAATTAGGCCTCTCAGTTGTTAGACTGATATACCTGGTTATCTCTCTGAACTGCTAGGAACAAAGATATGCCAGTGCACTCTCTCTCTCTCTCTCTCTCTCTCTCTCTCTCTCTCTC